CGTGACAACTAGAGGGGGCATTAACCCTCTCTACTCGATAATATTCGTAAGAAAATATTTACATTTCTTGCGAATTTTGTCGAGTAATCAGAGTTAATGCGATACAAGTGGATTCGACTCAAATAACGCGGGCACAAGTTATCGACATCTTCTACGGTGTAAGTAGACAGCTGTTCTACCGACTTTTCCTGCACGTCGTTGAGTCTTTAAAGTGACTGTACGCCTCTTACGAGCCATGATCCGTTGACGCTCCGTGCGCGCCTATTGCCATCATTTGGATCAATTTTTAAACGCTTATAACTAACAAACGAAGCATTTGTCGTTATTTCGTTATTCTTGATTTTAGTTTTATTTTGCCTCGAAGAATCACCTTTTAAATGTTTTCCCACTAGTAGTCGAACATCCTGTATATGGGACCACGAACTGTGAACGTGTTGTAGCAAAAAATAAAGATAGATATGGGATATATAATGGTGTATTTGAGATATCTACACACACAATAAACAATAGATGCTATTTCCCCTGCATCTGATTGAAATATGTAAACATATTGCAAATCAAGTGAGTCCGAATGCTAATGCAATTTTAACATAATTTTCCAAGGAAACGGTTGAATTGCGACCCACGGTGCCTTCCAAAATTTTTTATCCTTATAACGAGTAGAATACGATTAAAAAATAATATAGTTTAATCTTAAATTTCAAGGTCAAAGTCAATTTTGCGGTGACTTTCAGTTGCAGATGTCCACTGATCCGAAGGTGTAGAATAACGCTATGTAGCCGTAACATAAGTAGGTACAAGGTATCTGTACAAGGTGTCCCCAAAATTATGGTAAAACCAGCCGTGTAATGATTCTGTTATATCCTGTTAGGAATATTACCTCTTTTCTTTGCACATTTTTACTATATAACTTCGCAACGCGAAAAGCGAGCGAAAATCGTCAAATCAGCGACACGTGAAAGCTACGCGCGTAGTCGAGAATCCTCGAGACATTGACCGACGGACCGGACGGATCAGCAATATCGAAACACCGCCACGACGACTCGAGAATTCCCTGACGAACAATAGCTTGTTGCTACCCTGTATCTTCCACGTTCTTTAATAAAGGAAGGGGGGAAAAACATTATAAAACGATCGTCCTAACCAGGCAAGCTCTCTTGTACCCGGGCACCTCTCTTTTTCCTCAGTTAATCTCACGGTTTCGACTCTCGCGTTAGACGGTGCTTCGTCTACTTCTCCTTCACGCGTAACGGCGATCTGAGCGACAGCGGTCACTCTGCTGTTCAGTATCGGGTTCCCCGTGACGTTTCCTATTCAGTGCGACGCGACTTTGCGATTACGCGCGGCCTAACAGGCGAGTTCGATAAGACACCGGACCGCGAAGTGTGACGTCCGAAACGGTGACAACGTATCCCGCAGTGCCCGACCCCTGCATCACGGCTCCGAGTGCCAGCAAGTATTCCGCCCCTTCAAGGATCCGAAACCCCGACTGAACCAGCCGCAAGCGTTAATCATTCATCATCATTGGTATGTTAAGTTTTAATTGTATATTTTATTGTATTCATTGTTAGAATATATCTTGTTGTTGTTATAAACGAGAGTGATTTCCTATCCCTCCCGTTCCATATCCTAATTACGTACATCACCGGTAAGTTTAGACAGGGCGTGCTTTAGCACCTTAAAAGAGCCAGGACCCGAAAATATAAATAAAGTAACGACCGCAACGCGGGACGTAACAATTCTACAGGGTATTTCAGCTAAATAAGATCACCTAAATATCTACCTTATTTATTGTTGTATAAACAAATTTCTCAGAACGAAGTTGAACTATTTCAAGGGACACCTCCAACGATGAAAAGAATTATTTTTCGAGGTTATTTTTTTTACAAGATTTCAAGGTCATCAGTATTATTTTAAATGGAATAATATACGTTTTTTCGATTTCCTTATAAAGTGTAAAAAAATCAAGTTCAACAACCTAAATAACCACACCGTTTCGATCATTTAATGTCCAGGTATTTGTGTCTGAAATAACTAAAATTTTGAAAACATTCACATACAACAAATGTTTACGTTTGAACACACATGTGTAAATCGATGTGCTGCGTGAATTTTTAAAAAATTGTAGTTATCTTCATTCAGACGCAAATATCTCGAGTTTATCCTTTTCACTGCGGCACGCTCCAGCTCGAAGTTATCAAAATATATTGACACGGAAGTGTCCCCCTCCGATTTTGATGAAACGTCGTACGATTATTAAGCAGGCAAGAATAAGGGACACGTATTTTTTATTGGCTGAGATGCATCTTTAAAGGGTGAAAATACCCCTCAAAGTTTCGACATGGAAGTACTAACTCGAAAACCAGAAGAAATAGATGAAAACTTCTAGTGGGCCAGTTTCATGGTCTGTTATATACAATAATATGGTGTTAACAAATTGTCCAAAATACAATTTGTTTATAACAAAAACATTTTTTATAACTTTATTTTACAACTTATTCAAATCTACATAATGACAAAAAGTGATAAGCGTTTGTTAGAAACTTTGTATTGATACCTTGATTTTTAAAGGAGATCTGTATTCCTCAGAGATTCTGGGGTAAGTGCCGTGCGGCCACTCACGGTCCTCCTACCAAAAAGCATCGCTGCCTTCCCCACTCCGTGGCCAGATTCTCTAGGAACAAGGTCCTTATTCTTAAGGCAATGCAACGTCGGGCTGCTTGCCATATCTAACTTTCACTCATCTGTTTCACATAAACAACCCTCGTCGTCGCCGATAGCCGAAGGACCCAGCGTGGCCTTCTGCCACCATACGACGCCAGGTCTGTTTAGTCTCAAGCACCCTCTCTCACGACCGCACGCATTCTAGAAACCCTAGCCCATAAATTCTCCAACGGTCAATGAGCGACAGGCCATCCGCCTTCGACTCCGCTTAAAACTCGTTGACGCTAACACGTTTTATTCAGAATTTATTGATATATGCATTTATAAAATTGTCTCCTACAATTTCGCAGATTTTTATTATTTATATTCCATGCATACACCCATTAAGTCACCACACGGTATTAAATCGAATCGTATCAGACGATATTACATTATCAGCCGACGTTATTTATACACGTGAGTGAAAAAACAACTCTTTTTGCGACATATAATAGTTAATTGTATTAAATTTATATTGCATAATATAAAACAGTTAAAACTATGTATACGTACTCCAGAGAAGATGGATTAAACTGATAATTTTAATATGTTACGAGTAATTTGAATAAACTTAAGGAACATAATCATAACAGTAATGATAACCTTCGAAGAAATATTTCAAATATAGTGGCCTTTGGCACCAAGCACAAGTAGTGATAACTACATCACCATATAAGGATTTCTTAGGCCGGGTAGTGCAACTGCGCATGACGTTATTTTACATGCAAAAACAAATAAAAAATAAGGAATACAACTTTTTCCTATGATACTTAGTTTTCGAGATAATCGAATGTGAAAATCTGCTGGATACGCGTGCCATTGAATAGGATTCGGCTAACGCGCCTGTTCATTACATTCCGTTTCTACTTACTGTCGCCACGAATACACGCATACACGATGCATTTTCCAAGTTAGATAACTATTATATGTCGCAAAAATAGTTGTTTTTCACTCAGGTGTATAAATAACGTCGGTTGATAATGTAATATCTTCCGAAACGATTCGATTTAGTACCGCGTGGTGACAGCGGGAGTGCGCACGAAATATAAATAACAAAAATCTGCGAAATTATAGGAGGCAATTTCATAAATGCATATACCAATGGATTCGGAATTAAACGCTCATCACTTTTTATCATTATATAAATTTGAATAAGTTGTAAAATAAAGTTATACAAAATGTTTGTATTATAAACAAATTGTACTTTGGATAATTTGTTAGCACCATATTGTACATAAAAGTCCACGAAACTCGCTCATTAGATGTTTTCATGTATCTCTTCTGGTTTTCGAAATAACACTTCAGGGTCGAAACTTTAAGAGTTGGTTTCACCCTTTAAAGTTGCATCTCGGCCGATAAAAAATACATGTCCTTTATTTTTGCCTGCTTAACAATCGTACGAAATTTTTGTGTGAGAGCGTATATGTACGCCGTCTGTAGTGAAAGGGTTAAATGATTGAAACGATGTGGTTATTAAAGTCGTGGAATTTGTTTTTTTACGCTCTATGACATACCCCCATTATGTGGCCCAGGCTGCCTCGCTCGCTGCATAAGGAAAGTCGCATGCTACGAGGAGAGGCTTCCCACCACACCGCTAGCGATAGCCTCTTGTTCTTGCCTGTTGCGAAGACAGCATGCGACTTCCTTACGCAGCGAGCGAGGCAGCCTGAGCCGCGTAGTGGAGTTCCCCAAAAATGGGAGACTGACTCCGAGAATAGATGTTATGCAGCTCTACTCTATTAAGATACCGAAAAGAAGCATAGGGTCTTATTTTAAAAAATACCAATGACCTTGAGAAAAATTCTTTCCACTGTTGGTTGTGCCCCTTGAAATAGGTCCACTTTTTCCTGAGAAGTTTTTTCATACAATAGTAAATACAGTAAATATTTAGGTGATCCCATTTATCTAAGACACCTTGTAAATATAAGAAAAATAAGTCGAAAAAAAGAATAAATTCTTTTTATTTGAGATTTTCATCATGGTAGTAAGTAGAAACGGAGTGCAGTGGACAACGCGCTAGCCAAGTCCTATTCAATTGCACGCGTATCCAGCACATTTTCTAATTCAACTATCTCGAAAACGAAACTTAAAATGAAAAAATGTTATTGTTTTGTCGACTTATTTTTGCACGTAGAATCACAGCCCAGCCGATTGTACCACAATTTTGGGAATACCTTTTATATTTTTGTAAATACAATTTTAGTTGCTTGTTATATGCCATTGCTCTATTACTGTACATACGTTTAGAATTATTACTGCATAAGGATGTGATTTATTCTGTATATTGGTTTACATACCTTAGTGCTTGCAAAAATGCATCTGGCTGATATGGCTCACTGTTTTCTCTTGTTTCCGATGCACGCAATGCTATAAACAATTCGTGTAATTTTTCTGTAGCTACTTGTATTCTGTGTTTATTGTTATCCCCAGTTGGACCAGCCAAAGCTAGTAAATCTTTACTACTCCAACTGCGACTACCACTTGATGTAAGTGATACACCAGTTCTTCCCAGAGATGACGATTTTATCTAGCATAAAGAAAATGTGTAACATGGAACACTGTCGATTCTTATACAATATGCTGTGACTATTGTTTGATTTTTTCCAATCATTTGAGAACTTACTTTGGTTTGAAGTTGTTTGTCATTTAAATTAGACAAGTCAGTGGCTAAGTGATGTAAGTTATGCAAAAATGAAGGTGCAAATCGTAAAGTATATATCACACTGTTCAAGAAACATGTATTTCCGAGATTACATAAAGTAGCTATTCTTAATCCTTCTGTACCACCATTTGACACATTATATCCTCCGTCTTGATGATTATTTATTTGATTACGATAACCATTCAACATTTTGCTTGTACCTTTATAATTAAATCAAACTGTTAAATCTTATACAACTTCTGATTAATGTAACAGATGTAACATATTTAGTACAAAAAATGTTTAAGTAGTAATGTGTACGTACTATAATATGTAAAAATTTCTTTGTTCAGAAGGCTCTCCCTGGCTGATGTGTGAGAAGCCTGTGAGATGCTAGTGGAAACTGTACGCTCACGACCAGAAAGAGACAAGCAAACTTTCTTTCTAGGGGGAACTGAACGTTTATCCGCGTCTTCCTCTGTTTCTAATACTGTCATTTTCTGCTAACCTGAAATTATTCAAAATCAATAAATGTCATATTTTTAAACAAAAAACGTAAATGTATAATATGAAGTGCAAATAAACTCTGAATAATGGCAAATTTCAAATAAATTGTGTACTATGTTTTATAATAAGGAATAGGAAAAATAAATATGATAAATACATTCTTCTTAGATACAACTTGTTTCAGTAACTTTTAAGTTAAGAGTGTAAGAAACTCAGCGTAGGAAAATTACAACTCTTTAAACGATATACAAATTGACAATAAAGGAAATATGAGCATTAAGAATATATGTATAAGATGAAGTGTATTCAAATGGATATAAACAGATATGATATAAACAAAAAGAAGCAACATCACAAATTCTAATTGGCCACTTATGATTTAATAACAGTCTTGATATCCCAACTTTATGTAGCATGTTGATATTTTGCTACCATACATTTAATTTTTTATTGTTACAGTTACTTACATTTACTTTTCTATTGTTACAGGTCTAAATACCATATTCTTATATGTATCATGTTATATCAAATATCCAATATAGCTTCTTCTAAAAACTGTATTGTATACAAATATGTTATTGACTATCCAACACACAAAAATGTTCTCTGCTGCCTTTTTACAATATTGTATACTTTTTATATATTTTGTTATATCTCCTAAACATCTTGCATTAACCCCTCTAGCCATTTGGATATATATGTAACATCCACAGATAGTCTAGTGTACTGTCAATTTAAACATATGTACTAAGTACTACAAAGATTACAATCTTCTCTCCAAGCATTTCATTAAAAAAATTTCTACTTTAGACATCAAAGCCAGACTTCAGAACAAATATGCAGTGTGTAAAATTCAAAAATAGAATAAAAATATAGCATTTAAATACCAGCTTGGGGGAATAATCTATGATCTTGCATTAACCATGCCCAACCACGACCTTTGTAAACAAGAGTATCCTTTGCATCATACATTCACGGACTAAACCACCCACAAATGAAACTGATGTTCTTCAATTCATGGCAAATGTGTTCTCAACTAGTTGTTTTCTGTTCTAACCTTGCTGAAAACATCATATTCGAGTAACAATGTTGGAAATGCTTGGAGTATACTATAAACATTGTATGATTTTGAATGAAATTGAACATCACATTTCCTAATTTTAAATTATATATAAAGCTTTTTCAATAATACATTGTTATGAAACATATAATTACTAGAACTTTTTTGTTAGCTTAGCATATTTAAAATATCTCTACAAACTTTTAAAATTCAGTTCGATCTTTGTGTTACATGTCAGATATTTTTCAACATACAGGTGAATGTGAATTGATTAAATATCTTGAAAAAATATTTTATTTTATTCAACATATGAATTTATTTATGCTTAATAAAATTGATACAAATATGTATGTGTAAGTAAAATAGAATAATGGTTTGTAATAATTTTGTACTAATAGCATATAGGTATATGTTGACATTCATCAAAACAGATTTAAAAAAGTATTATACTTAATGTACACAAGTAATATTACAGATAAAAAATACCATGTCCTTCGATAAATCTCAAATCATTTATAAACATATTTTTAAATGAATTAAAACAGGAATCTTAATTACAAATGTAAACATATTGATAATATTAAAAGCTGTGTAAGTCATGTCACTAATTAGAATAGACTAACGCTGAAAAGGTTAAAAATTCCTTCAATGTAGTATGTATAATCATCGGAAATATATGCACAACTTATGGAAAGTTTCCAGATACTACAATAAATTATAATTTTCATAGAGCCTATTACTAGAGAATATTACTATTGTTTCTTATTGCAAATGTGTCTTCCCAATAAAATTGCTTTAACTTCATGTACATTTTCGTGATACTACCACACAGTGACTTCATTTACACACATGTATCAGCTCATACTATGTACATGCTAATATATACTACGTAAATACAAAAATTGGGTTGAAAATTTATTTACTTACGTATTATTCGGTAGGGAAGTCATGGAACAAATGAGTTTTGTATTAACCTTAGTTAATCAAGAAAAATCTGTATGTACAATTGAGTTCCAAAATGGTTCTTTAAATAACACGAGCTACATTTCTATTAATGTCACACAAAACAGATTTTTTTTAACAATATGCAGTAGCCATTACCCATTCCACCTAATATATATCATATATTTGTGAATTCATGTGCGATTCCCAATTTCACATTCAACCAACTTTTCTTTCGCGGTTTACACAGGTTCACACAGTCGTCCACTGTCGTCATTAGTTTATGTGAGACCTTACGAAACGAGAGCTTGCATTAATGATGAGCACCATCGACTGAAAACTATCGACTAAGTCGATAGTAGTCAAGTACTAGTTCAGTCGACTGATTTTCTAAACTATCGACTAGGTAATTCAGTTGACAAGCAATCGCTTGAACTATCGAGCTATTGACTGGATCTTGATTATTTTCTTGGCGATGCAAATCAATTGCAATTTTCCCATACATTTTTTATACGCATTTTCTTGTAAACAAATCCTTCAAACTTTTCCGAAAAAATCAGATCGTTCCGTTTAATTTTTAAAAGGTCATTTAATTTTTTTGTTCCTCTTTTACATTAATAAGAAATGTTAAGTATTAAGGAAGAAGACGAACCAACTACGAATAATGTACTATCTCAGAATTCGCCTGTCATTTGATAATGTAAACATTTAAGAATCTATATGTTACGGGTAGCAGGGGTAGGGTGTAGTATTTCTAACGAAAATAAAAGAATCGTTCTTTAATTCATTTACGAAGATGTATATATTTTATATTTATTCTTTTTATATTTTATTGTTTATTATAAATAATATTAATACGATTATTATTAATATTGATATATTAATATTATGTAATATTAATTGATATTTCCAGATAGCACATGTGCCTTGAAGACGGCTTAAGGGGGGAGACTCCTTTGGGGCCAACTCCGAATTGATCGAAGCGCTGATGTAAACAATCGGACGCCAGCGGAAACACAAAATCGATATTTGGGACTATAGCGTTTATGGCTATATTCAAATAATGTTCGAAAAGAGGTGAATTAATATTTATATATATTTATTTACTTTAAGTTAACACATGAAAACGTGACGTAAAGTTTATAACAAAAGTGTGGCAGATTCAAATGATGTATGCGCGTTGCGTCTACAGCTGTAGCGTGTGTGCTTATATATAGTTGGAGATGATCTGAGAGAGAGTGTGTAGAAAGAGTGCTTGATTTTGGAAAATGAATCAATTCGTTGTTTGTCCACTAGAGGCATAACGATGATGGTCGAGAAGCGCCAAAGTTTCGAATGGCGGCCACAGGACGGCTTGATAATACGACATCTAGCGGCAGTACCCACAAATAAAATTTGTTCCCCGTTACCATCAAGCTGGGTTTGTGTATTTCCTACGCGAAGACAGTGTTGCCGGAAAGTATTGCGTTTCTGACGCTGTTGCCTCATGTCCCGCATGCAATTCTACCCGTGAGGAGAACGATGGAATAGCTACGGCCTACGGCTCGTGGCGAGATTTCGATTCTCGCCGAACGTCCAAGGCCAGCGACCGACCCATCGGCATACAATGTAAACAGACATAGATGAGATAAGGAATGACGCACGAATGAAAATTTAAACTTTTACAATTTGTAATATATTTTAATGAAAATGTCATGAATGAATTGAAGAAATTCTCCCGATTAAAATGCGTCCAAATTCGAGTGTAATTGGACAATTGTTACTCATACGTAATGTTGCGGATGAAAATGATATATTATTGAAAATAATCCGAATGATGTCGTATTTGGACTCATTTCCACCGACAGAATGTCCTCAGTTCATTCGTGACACTTTAATGAATGTATACTGAAAACTATAAAAGATTAAATCTGCATTCATGCGTTTCATTCCTTATCTGTTTACATTGTATTTCGATCGTTAGTCGCTGGCCTCTCGCCCGGCGCTCAACAGCCCATTTATTCCTGTTGGCCAAAGTTAGTCGAAGGAACAGTCAAGCGACAATGTTCTTTAGCTAACGATGAGCTGAGGCAGACAAAAAAGTTTAAAAAGCCGCAAATCAATGTGATTCATATTGCACTGTCCAAAATTCTATGCTGCTTATTTATTCACGGTATATTACAGTCTAGTCTGTATATACGAACTAAAATATGATTTGCAATATGAAACTGCCCGCGCGAGAGCGGGTACGTCAGCTAGTTATCCATAAAATGATTTGAATGTTTATGAGAAGTTAAAGATTAGTCTAGATAATTAAGTTTTAATGATTTAATTGTAATTAGTTGTTTCACAATGTACAGGGAAATGTTTGACAAAACACGCACAAAAATAGTAACAGACACTTTTTTCAACTTTTTTATCTTAGCCTATAATGAACATTTGAAATATGCCTCTTGTAGACTTATATATCTAAGAAAAAGAAAAGTGAAGCTGCGATGTTACAGTTTCCTTATTGCCATGACTAAGTATATCATTACTATCTATGTATATATATCAATAATACTGCTTAATAACAATAGTGAAATCGAAAGCTGGTTTTATGACCATTCTAGTCGACGTTCAACGAAACAGTATTCCTGTCTCTTCGTTTTCGATCGACACCCGATGGTGACTTTCAGAGTGACCTAGGTCAGGCCACCATTATCGGGCCCAGTCATAACAAAATTCGTCGGTCAAAGCAAAGAAGCTACGAGCACCGAAGTAGTAAAAAATCTTCAGGTTTATAAGTCGAAAGTACGAGTTTTTTAGTTTTGTAACTTATTTGTAACTCTAACTTGTAAGTCTAACCACTTTTAATAGTTTGTAACTTATACCCTGCAATTTTCAGCGTGTATGTATCTTAATTAAGTGTATAAGAGGTATTTGTTAAATTTTCACTATAGGATCGGAAAAAAATGAAAAAAAGAACTTCTTAATATTTTTACTATTTTCTTTGCTATTCCAACAATTGTGATGTTTTGAAATAACGAAAACATGTCATCTAATAAGTTAATCCTTCTAGCTTCTCAAAAAAACTCAAGTCGTTTGGTCCAATTTTTAAAACAAAATACGTACTGGAACAGGTGCAGACGCAGCGAAGATGATACGCTAAGTACGCATGCGACAGCAATCAGTTGTTAGTACAAAATCTATCTCCGCTGGGCGACGAATGAAAGATTGACAGAGCGTATGCGATTAATTGTGTTCCTTTTGTGTCTCTTTTATGAAATATTTGTGTAAGTATATAACACCTGCGTCAATTATGTCAATAAAAAATAAATAAATATCATTTCCAACAAGAGATTTGTATAGTATTCCATGTTTTTCGTATGTGGAATACCCGGAATATATATTGTGCCATTTTTACAATTTGTTTCTCGAGAATATCATGTCAAGTATCTCGTATGTAATTTCATTAATTAAAAAAATAAGCATCATTGCAAGTACGAATAAGAAGGTTCATCCTTGCACACATTAGTACGTATTGTTTAATTCTCGGATTTCTTTCCCTCGCGTCGTTATTTCCTACGTTCCGCGAGAATCGAAATCTCGCCATAAGCCGTAGGCCGTAGCTGTTCCATCGTTCTCCTGACGGGCAGAATTGTCGAATGGCAACAGCGTAACAAAACAATCGATACGATCCACCACGTGTTGCGAGGTTACATTTACCGACTCCCTCTGTTTTATCGATGCTCGTGGTAACGCAGGCCAAAGTGACTGACAAATACCATAAACGCCTCTAGCGGAGAATCCTTGAACTATACCACTGTTTATTTCTGCGTCTGGACGCGTCGAATCGTAAATTCCAACTTCTACGTTCCAGAAGTGATACAGTGACAAAAATTGGATTTCTACGATAGTGTGATAGTGGTGTGCAGGGTGGGCTGGTCTGCGTTTGACGAGGAAACCATTAAATCGTGAGATATTTGACAAAATGTGACTTGTGCAGCCATCTTGTGTGTTTTCATCGGCGTCTGTCACAATCGCACACTTTCTAAAATTCTAATTCTTTCAATTAAAATGTGTTTATTGCTGTTTATACAGACCAGACCACCCTGTAAGGAAGT